CAGACTTTCCACACAGAAGCCCCATGACCAACAGAAAATACTATGTTTTCTGCTGGTCTTTGGAGACCCCTCTGACACTCCCTCGTGACCCCCTCAGGGGTCCCGACCCCCAGGTTGAGAAACACTGTACTAGAGCTTTTGATCTATGTTAATTTTGTCAATACCTGTATGTATGTATTTTTATCCTTTGCAATTTGGCCTGTAAATTGCCTGGAGCATCTTGGATGGAGGGCGATTAATAAGTAATAAAATGATGATGATGATGATGATGATGATGATGATGATGATGATGATGATGATGATTATGACTGTGGTGCAGCTGGCTGGGAGTCGGCTGCATTAGATCACTACTGACCAAAAGGTCATGAGTTCAAAGCCAGCCTGGGTCAGAGTGAGCTTCTGACCATTGTGTAGCTCACTGTCTACCTTGCAGCCCGAAAGACAGTTGTATCTGTCAAGTAGGAAAATTAGGTACTGCTTATATGCAGGGAGGCTAATTAAAACGAATTTACAATGCCATAAAAAATCTCCAGCAAGCATGCAAAGAATGAGGAAAGTACTCCATCAGTGTCACAAATGGACGGTGAAGCGACAGCTCCCCTGGTGGCCAGAATACCCTCATGAAAAAGCTGGAATGTTAAATTGCCTCTGTGTCTGTCTATATATGTTGTGTATCTATGGCATTGAATGTTTGCCATGTAATATGTACATTGCAATCTGCCCTGAGTCCCCTGCGGGGTGAGAAGGGCGGAATATATAAATACTGAAAATAAATAAATAATAGTATGCATGCTCACAGAAATAAGAATAATAATGCAATGATTCTGGAAAAGATTGTTAAGGAAGCAGTCTGCAAATACTTAGAAACAAATGCGGTCATCGCTAATAGTCAACATGGATTGATCAAAAACAAGTCATGCCAGACTAATCTGATCTCTTTCTTCGATAGAGCTACAAGCTGGGTAGATGCGGGGAACGATGCCGTGGATGGAGCGTGTCTGGATTTCAGGAAGGCCTTCTTTGACACGGTCCCCCATGACCTTCTGGCAAGGAAACTAGTCCAATGTGGGTGAGGCACAACTACGGTGAGGTGGATCTGGAATTGGCTAAATGGACGAACCCAGAGGGTGATTCTCCCCAAGGCTTCCTCTTCATCTTGGAAAGAAGTGACGAGCAGAGTGCTGCAAGCAGGGTTCCATCCTGGGCCTGGTCCTGTTCAGGATCTTCATTCATAACTTAGATGAAGGGTTGGAAGGCAGGATCATCCAGTTTGCAGATGATACCAAATTGGGAGGGAGAGCCAATACGCCAGAGGACAGGAGCAGGATTCAAAACTATCTTGACAGATGAGAGAGATGATGGGCCAAAACTAACAAAATGAAGTTCAACAGGGACAAATGCAAGAGACTCCACTTTGGCAGAAAAAACGAAATGCAAAGATACAGAATGGGGGACAATGCCTGGCTTGAGAGCAGTACGTGTGAAAAAGATCTTGGAGTCGTCTCCGACTCTTCGTGACCTCATGGACCAGCCCACGCCAGAGCTCCCTGTCGGCCGTTACCACCCCCAGCTCCCTCAAGGTCAGTCCAGTCACTTCAAGGATGCCATCCATCCATCTTGCCCTTGGTCGGCCCCTCTTTCTTTTGCCTTCCACTTTCCCCAGCATAATTGTCTTCTCTAGGCTTTCCTGTCTCCTCATGATGTGGCATTCAAAGTACTTCAACTTTGTCTCTAGTATCTTTCCCTCCAGTGAGCAGTCGGGCTTTATTTCCTGGAGGATGGACTGGTTGGATCTTCTCGCAGTCCAAGGCACTCTCAGAACTTTCCTCCAACACCACAGCTCAAAAGCATCGATCTTCCTTCGCTCCGCCTTCCCTAAGGTCCAGCTCTCACATCCATAGGTTACTACAGGGAATACCATGGCTTTGACTAGGCGGATCTTTGTTGCCAGTCTGATGTCTCTACTCTTTACTATTTTATCGAGATTGGACATTGCTCTCCTCCCAAGAAGTAAGCGTCTTCTGATTTCCTGGCCACAGTCTGCATCTGCAGTAATCTTTGCACCCAGAAATACAAAGTCTGTCACAGCCTCCACGTTTTCTCCCTCTATTTCCCCACCTAGAAATACAAAGTCTGCCACGGCCTCCACGGTTTCTCCCTCTATTTTCCAGTTGTCAATCATTCTTGTTGCCATAATCTTGGTTTTTTTGACGTTTAGCTGCAACCCGGCTTTTGCGCTTTCTTCTTTCACCTTGATTAGAAGGCTCCTCAGCTCCTCCTCGCTTTCGGCCATCAGAGTGGTGTCATCTGCATATCTGAGAAGGATCACCGCCTTGTCTTGGAGTCCTCGTGGACAACAAGTGGATGCTGTTGGGATGGTCCAGGAACCTGTTTAGTTCTTCTTCTCCATGGCTCCAAATGGTGAAGGTGTCATCCACATATCTGAACCATATTGTGGTTTTATGTTTATGTTCTTTAATTTGCATGTATTGATGGTGTTACTTGGAAACTGCTCTGAGTAGTATATAAATAAAGTGTTGTTGTTGTTGTTGCAGCTTAAAAGGTCTTTTGTTTTCTCTTCCGAAGAGCACAGGTGCCTCACCAAACTCTCATTCCTAAGATTCCATAGCATCAAGCCATGGCAGTTAAGGGGGTGTTGAACTGTATTACTTTTGCCCTTGTAGACTCATCCTCTGTTAAGCAAATCCTGTCTTTGAGAGAAAACATGGTCTAAAGCAGTGGTTCTCAACCTGGGGTCAATAGATGTTTTTCGCCTACAACTCCCAGAAACTCCAGCCAGTTTACCAGCTGTTAGGATTTCTGGGAGTTGAAGGCCCAAAACATCTGGGGACCCCAGGTTGGGAACCACTGGTCTAAAGTCTGGTGTTGGGCTTGGATGTTGGGAAACTTGGGTTTCAATCCCCACTTGATCATGCAACCCAACTGGTTGACTTTGAGCAAATCCCACTCTCTCAGTCTCCAAGGAACACAATGAGGGTGATCCTCACGTGACAAAGAAAACCAAAGGATAGGATTGCCATTGAGCCAAAGTTGACTAGTAGGGAACAACACCACACCACAGTGAAGTGGGTGAGGACACAAATTTTATTGCTGGTGAGCATCACAAGCAGATTGAAACATCGGAGAGGGGACAAAACATGCAAGGCTTCCCGCAGCAGTTGTGGCCTTCTTGCTTCAGAAGGGCTCCTAAATGCCCTAGGTGTGCTTTGCTTATGCGATCTTCTGTGGACCCCCATTATTGGTGGGTAGAGACCGAGTATGTCCAATGGGCCATCTCAAGAACATCTGGGAACTCCATGCCTGGCTTGCTTTGGTCCCCCTTCCTCTGTCATTTCCCCCCATATTTATACCGTAAAGTCCAAGCAAAATATACATCTCATCCAGGAGAGAAGTTCTTGTGTTGAAGGTCTGCATGCAATGGGGCGAGGAAGGGCTTGGACCCCAGGTTAGGCTTTGGATTAGGCTGAGGGTCAGGTAGGTGGCTCCCAATGGGTCCTGTTGTGGGTCAGGAGGGAGGGCACCCAAGAAATGGCATCCCAATGGAGAGGGACAGGGGTTCATTCGAGGAGCAGGGAGCCACACGGAGCTAATAGGGGTACCTGGTCCTTTTGGGACGCCAGTATTGGGACCACGTGGGCTGGGCCCATGCCCACTGCTGGGTTGTGGGGGGCAGGGTGGCTGGGGGAGGCCGGTACCAATCCTGGTAGCCCTGCTGCCCACCGTAGTAGGCAGGGTGCCGGGTGGTCCTCCGGGTGGGCCGGGTCAAGCCCAGCTGGGCCCACGTCTGGTAGGCCGGCCGTGGTGGTGGATGGGTTAGGAGAGGAGGAGGGGGAGGAGGCGTGGCCCACTGCTGGTTCCAGCCACTGGACGTGCCCCACTGGGCCTGAGTGGCAGAAGGCAGCGGAGGTGGCCAGGGAGGAGGGTTGGTCAGCACAGGTCGCATGGTTGGCCGGAGTAGGGGCCTGGAGGTGGCTTGAGCTTGGAGCCAGTTCTGGATCTCCTGCTCATCTTTGGCCAAGGTGGGCTGGGGCAGGGGCGGAGGAGGCGGCCTTGGGGTGGCGTGGGCATGAAGCCAGTTCTGGATCTCCTGCTCGTCTTTGGGCAAGGTGGGCTCCCTCCATGTCAGTGGGGGGCTGCTTGGGGTCGGGTTTGGCTGGGGCCATGGATTCATCCAGTTCCCTGTCGCGGCAGTCGTGGTTGGACGGTATGCTGTCTGGTACCACGGTTGCCCCACAGGTCTCGGCATGCTGGGCTTGGGTTTTACAGCTCCCTGACCGCCTGGCCGGATCAGGTTCTCCTTGGTGCCCGCTTTGATCCAATCGAGGAAGTGCTGCGTTGAGGTGTAGACGCCCGGGCGCTGGGCCCGCCCACAGCCGGCCCCCCAGCTGGTGACGCCAACCACCCAGAAGCGCTCCGACCTCGCAGCCCGGCACACCAGGGGACCACCGCTGTCACCCTGCAACAGGAGAAAGTCCACACAGGTTTCTCAAAGGGAGGTCATGCCAGACAAACCTTACCTCTTTTTGATAGACTTACAAATTGAGTAGATGGAGGGGATGCTGTGGATGTAGTATATCTCCATTTCAGGGAGGCCTTTGACCAGGCCCCCCATGGCTTTCTCACAAAGAAGCTAATAGTATAATGTAGGCTGGGAAATGCTACTGTGAGGTGGCCAAGTGGCCGAGCCAAAGGATCCTTCTGTCCAATGACTCCTCAATTTGGAAGGGCATAAAGACGGGTCTGTCCTGTGGCCAATGCTATTCAAGATCTTCATCAATGACATGAATGAAAGACTAGAAGGCACGTCTATCATATTGGCAAAAGAGACCAAATTGGGAAGGATGGCTAATACTCAACCTTATGAGATGCCCAAGGTCAGAATGAAGAAGACATAGAACCTAGAGTTCTAGGATTGGAAGGACACATCAAGTTGAACCTCAAGAAAAGGGCAACCAAATTGGCCCAAGGCCTGGAAAGCATGAATTCCAAAGAGGAGTGTCCTCTCCACCTTCTCTAAAGAGAAACACACTCAGTTCTTTAAGAGGCTCCTCAGAGGGATTCATGGTCTCCAGACCTTTCATCGTTTTAGTTACCCTCTTCCGCTGAATGCCTTCCAGCTTAGAGTCAATCTCTCTTTTGAACGGTGAGGCCCAGAACTGGACACAGTTTTATTCCAGGTGAAGATAGCCATGTATAAATATGTGAGAGGAAGCCACAGGGAGGAGGGAGCAAGCTTCCTTTCTGCTTCCCTGGAGACTAGGACGCAATGGAGCCATGGCTTCAAACTACAGGAAAGAAAGGAGATTCCACCTGAACATTAGGAAGGACTTCCTGACTGTGAGAGCTGTTCAGCAGTGGAACTCTCTGCCCTGGAATGTAGTGGAGACTCCTTCTTTGGAGGCTTTTAAACAGAGGCTGGATGGCCATCTATTGGGGGTGCTTCTTGGCAGAATGGGGTTGCACTGGATGGCCCACCAGGTCTCTTCCAACTCTAGGATTCTATGATTCTATGAAGACGTCTGGCCAAAGCTGAATAGAGAGGCACCCTGACATTCCTCAATCTGGACACTAGACTTCATCTGATGCAGCCCAAAATCACATTGGCTTTTTGAGCTGCTGCACCACACTCTTAGCTCATGTACAACTTGTTGTCCACTAAGACTCCAAGATTCTTTTCACATGGGACTTTGTTGTCAAGCTAGGTGTCACCCATCCTGCATCTTTGCATTTCATTTCTTAAGTGGAGTATCTCCTTGTTGACATTCGTCTTGCTAGTTTTGGCCAATCAGCTATCTCATCTGCTGAAGTCATTTTGCATCCTGACCCTGTCCTCTGGAGTACCAACTCTCCCTCCCCCATTTGGTCTCATCTGCAAACTTGATCTGCCTCCGCTCTAAACTTCCATCCAAGTCATTAATAAAGATGCTGAACAGAACTGGGCCCAGGACCAAACTCTCTTCATGGCACCCAAATAGTCACTTCTTTCCTGGATGAAAGAAAGAAGAGGAACCATTGGGGAGAAGCACCCTTTGGGTTCAGTTGCTTAACCAATTACAGACCCACCTAATAGTAGCCTTGCCTGGCCCACCTTTGACTAGTTTGCTTGCAAGAAGGTCATGGGGGACTCTGTCAAAGGCCTTGCTGAACTCAAGATATACTACATCCACAGCATTCCCTGCATCTACTAAGCTTGTCACTCTATTGAAATGGAGAGATGGAGAGTCCATCACCCTCCAGGGCAATCTATCCCACCAGCTCCTTTTGCGTGGGGGATACTCCTCCCCACAAGACCTGCCTTGGTCCCAATCCTTGCCTTCCTTTCCCCCTGGAAACCCTCCTGAAGTGGGATTTCCATCTGTACCTGACAGGTATCGATGCCTCCGCGCTGATACCCAGCACAAAGGTTGTTGAAGTGGATCTTGCTGTTGTACCAGTAAGTGCTGTTGCACAATTCCAGTGGGATGAGGTTGACCTTGGCCTCCTGCAAGATGTCGGACGTCTGGCGCTCTGAAAGCAGAAGGATGTGGCTTAGGACTCGCTCTGGACTCCCTGGAAACCATCTTAAGTCAACTACAGGGTGCATTTGACCTGTAGAATGAATACACTTTGATGCCACTTAACTTGCCATGACTCAATGCTATGGCACAACCTGGGATCACAACCAGACACAGTGAATACATCTGCCCTTGCGTTATGCTACTCTGCTGCTGAACCTGACTCAGCACATAGAAGATGGCTTTGAAAGGCAGCAGATCACAGGAGCTGTCTTCATAGACCTGTCAACAGCCTATGAGACTGTCAACCACTGCTGCCTCCTCCTGAGAAAAATGTCTAATATCACAAAGGACGACCACCTCACCCGCCTCATAGGAAACCTGCTACAAAACAGGAGCTTTTTTGTTGAGTTCCAGGGCCAGAGAAGCAGATGGCGGAAACAGAAGAACGGCCTGCCTCAGGGGAGCGTGCTTGCTCCATCCATGTTCAACATCTACACAAATGACCAGCCACTGCCAGAAGGGACAGAGAGCTTCATCTATGCTGACAATCGTGCCATCACTGCTCAAGCAGGGAGCTTTGAGATGGTAGAACAGAAGCTCTCCGAAGCTCTAGGTGCTCTTACTGCCTATTACAGGGAAAACCAGCTGATCCCTAATCCATCTAAAACACAGACATGTGCCTTTCATCTCAAGAACAGACAAGCATCCCAAGCTCTGAGGATACCTGGGAAGGAATCCCACTGGAGCATTGCAGCGCACCCAAATACCTGGGAGTCACTCTGGACCGTGCTCTGACCTACAAGAAGCACTGCCTGAACATCAAGCAAAAAATGGGCGCTAGAAACAATATCATACGAAAGCTGACTGGCACAACCTGGAGATCACAACCAGACACAGTGAAGACATCTGCCCTTGCGCTATGCTACTCTGCTGCTGAGTACACATGCCCAGTGTGGAACACATCTCACCACACTAAAACAGTGGATGTGGCTCTTAATGAGACATGCCGCATTATCACGGGTGTCTGCGCCCTACACCACTGGAGAAATTACACTGCTTAGCCGGTATTGCACCACCTGACATCCACCAGGAAGTAGCAGCCAATAGTGAAAGGAACAAGGCAGAGACATCTCCAGCTCATCCCCTGCTCGGATATCAGCCAGCACATCAATGCCTTAAATAAAGAAATAGTTTTCTAAGATCTACAGAGATACTTGCAGGAACACCTCAGCAAGCAAGAGTCCAAGAGTGGCAGGCTAAAACCCGGAAGCTCAATTCATGTCTGATACTGGATGAGAGACGCTCTCCTGGGCACACAGAAAACTGGGCAACTTGGAAGGCACTGAACAGACTGCGCTCTGGCGCCACAAGATGCAGAGCCAACCTTAAGAAATGGGGCCACAAAGTGGAATCCTCGACATGCGAGTGCGGAGAAGAGCAAACCACTGACCACTTAGTACAATGCAACCTGAGCCCTGCCACATGCACAGTGGAGGACCTTCTCATAGCAGCACTTCCACGTGGTCAACTTCTGCTCAAAGGACATTTAATAGAATTCCAAGTTTGCAAATTTTGTGTTTCTTTTAAAAAAAACACAACACAACTGTTTGGTTCACTCCTGACACAATAAATAAATAAATGCTATGGAAACCTGGGAGTTGTAGTTTGGTGATGCACCAGCCTTCCTTGGCAGGGAAGGCTAAAGACTTTGCAAAACTACATCTCTCATGATTACGTAGCATTGAGCCATGGCAGTTGCATGACTGTTAAGTGAGCAACGAAACCTTTGCTAAACTCTGCTCATTATTTCAGTCATTGCACATTATTTGTGATTCAAGCAGCCTTCTCATTTCACATTAAAGATGCCGCAGCTGCCTGGAGAATTGACATGCATGGATATTAGTGAAATTATCATCATTAAATGCCATGTCCTCAACGACGTGATGCATTTAGCATGCTACTCTTCCACGGGCAATAATATATTTATTATGCCAGTCTGCCATTCATTTTAGTCAAACACATATCCATCTATAATTTTCTATCTAACCACTCATGTCTATAATGTACCTATCATAACTCCAAATACACAAAGGGATATCTATCTATCTATCTATCTATCTATCTATCTATCTATCTATCTATCTATTGTTTTGTATTACTGTTGCCATTGTTTATTGTTGTATTGTGGGCTCGGCCTCATGTAAGCCGCACCGAGTCCCTTGGGAAGATGGTAGCAGGGTACAATAAAGTTATTATTATTATTATTATTATTATTATTATTATTATTATTATTATCGTATCTATACACATATCTATCTCTCTGTCTTTCTATTTTTATCTAAACACAGATCTATCTGCACATAAATTTGTCTGTCTGTCTGTCTATCTATGTATCGGCAAAAAAAGCCAATGGGATGTTGTCCTGCATCAAGAGGAGCCTAGTGTCTAGATCTAGGGAAGTCATGCTACCCCTCTATTCTGCCTTGGTTAGACCACACCTGGAATATTGTGTCCAATTCTGGGCACCACAATTCAAGAGAGATATTGACAAGCTGGAATGTGTCCAGAGGAGAGCGACTAAAATGATCAAGGGTCTGGAGAACAAGCCCTATGAGGAGTGGCTTAAGGAGCTGGGCATGTTTAGTCTGAAGAAGAGAAGGCTGAGAGGAGATATGATGAAGGCCATGTATCAATATGTGAGAGGAAGCCACAGGGAGGAGGAGGGCAAGCTTCCTTTCTGCTTCCCTGGAGACTAGGACGCAATGGAACAATGGCTTCAAACTACAAGAGAGGAGATTCCATCTGAACATGAGGAAGAACTTCCTGACTGTGAGAGCCGTTCAGCAGTGGAACTCTCTGCCCCGGAGTGTGGTGGAGGGTCCTTCTTTGGAGGCTTTTAAACAGAGGCTGGATGGCCATCTGTCAGGGGTGATTTGAATGCAATATTCCTGCTTCTTGGCAGAATGGGGTTGGACTGGATGGCCCAGGAGGTCTCTTCCAACTCTTTGATTCTATGATTCCACCCACATATCTATATCTACATACACATCCATCTATCACTGATCTACATCTGTCCATCTATCTATAAAACACATATCCATGTATAATTTTCTGTCTAACCACTCATGTTCAACATCTTTATTAATGACTTAGATGAAGGACTTGAAGGCAGGATCATCAAGTTTGCAGACGGGACCAAATTGGGAGGGAGAGCCAAGACTCCAGAGGACAGGAGCAGGATTCAAAATGATCTTGACAGATTAGAGAGATGATGGGCCAAAACTAACACAATGAAGTTCAACAGGGACAAATGCAAGATACTCCACTTTGGCAGGAAAAACGAAATGCAAAGAGACAGAATGGGGGACGATGAGGCCTGGCTCGAGAGCAGTACATGTGAAAAAGATCTTGGAGTCCTCGTGGACAACAAGTTAAACATGAGCCAGGAATGTGATGTGGCGGCAAAAAAAGCCAATGGGATTTTGGCCTGCATTAATAGGAGCCTAGTGTCTAGGTCCAGGGAAGTCATGCTACCCCTCTATTCTGCTCTGGTTAGACCACACCTGGAATATTGTGTCCAATTCTGGGCACCACAATTCAAGAGAGATATTGACAAGCTGGAATGTGTCCAGAGGAGAGCGACTAAAATGATAAAGGTCTGGAGAACAAGCCCTATGAGGAGCGGCTTAAGGAGCTGGGCATGTTTAGCCTGAAGAAGAGAAGGCTGAGAGGAGATATGATAGCCATGTATAAATATGTGAGAGGAAGCCACAGGGAGGAGAGAGCAAGCTTGTTTTCTGCTTCCCTGGAGACTAGGACGCAATGGAACAATGGCTTCAAACTACAAGAGAGGAGATTCCATCTGAACATGAGGAAGAACTTCCTGACTGTGAGAGCCGTTCAGCAGTGGAACTCTCTGCCCCGGAGTGTGGTGGAGGCTCCTTCTT